AGCAACATGTCCTGGTCACTTGGCAGTATCCTGTGAGGGTGGCTGCTTGTGTTCATTGCAGCGAGTGACTTTCACAAATCTGAACCACGCATCATACTTTTGCTCAGCTATGGTGAGGAGAATGTTGCATCCCACAGTATGTGTCTCGTGTTTGATTTTGCTTTTGTTTGGCATCTCCGTGGCAAGGCAATTGATTTTAAGAATTGAAGCTTGGCATGGTTGCAGAGGGATGCTGGTGGAGGGAGTCTGTGAAACAACAGCTTCCAAAGGAAATGTAACTACCCTCATTCTACATCCTCGGAAGCTTGCGTGGTAGGTTGCCTGCCTATTTGACTTCAACCAGTACTTGAAATTTCAGGCATGTCGAGGTTTAGTCTGGGAAGTATTCAAATCTGAATCTTAGACTGTCCATGTTTGGTCTTCAAATTGACATCTCCAAGGGCGGAGAAGGATCAGTGGCCGCAGCACCTAGGGCTTAGGCCGGCGCTCAAGGCGTTTCGTTCTTCGCCGCACACGACGTGGGCTCCGGGTGACAAAACAGCAGATTGCTTGTGTCAGGTTTTGCCACAGAAATAAAGTGAAGACTGGGAAATTGAGACTTTCACAGGAACCAAAGAGTCCCAGGCTCTGCAATATTGAGAACTTGGAGTTTTTTTTGGGACACGTAGCCATGTTGCTGTAAGTCCACTGTAAGTACAGGGTTTGCGCACGCCTGTGAGACCCATCCATGAAGTACAGCCCAACATCTTGGGACACCAAGGCACTGGCAAATGACGGGTGCTGCTTCTGTTCCAACGATGTTACAAGCGGAGAGCTGTTCCTCGTACAGGTACGAAAGAAATCAACGAGATCATGCACATGCTCACTAGCTTGGCTTGCTGATCACTCTGTGGAACAGATGCGACCGACCTTTCCCCTTGTAACTTGTCAACTCTTTATTTGAAGCCATGCATTTGAGCTGCAAATGTGCGAATGCACTGCGTCAACACCAAGTCAATATGATATGTAATTCAATGTACAGTTAAACGAAACTTACCCATGTCTAAGACGTTATTGAGTGTGGCAGCTCTGGCATCAGCTTCAAAGGGTTGCAGTTCTGCTTGAGCACAGATTAGACGTGCGAAACACATCGAAATAACATCAAAAGTATCGAATTGCTATTGGTGCGCATCTTCTTGACTTTTTCCTCCAATCATCGGCCTTCATAAAGTTGTGTGGAGAGGTTTTCCTTGGCACATTCAGCACTCATGACCAAAGACATGTCCCCGACTGGATGATATCCTGACCTCATGACAGTACATTTTTTGCCCTTCACTGCTTGCACCATGCTGACTTTTCCGCTGCAGCGTTTTGGGCCCCAAAGAGGTGGTGCAATAGATGCGGAAGGTTGAAACTTTGACCAATCTGTTGGACAGTTTCAGGATGTTTCAATGTGTTTCAGTGTTTTATAGCCTCTACCATGTCGGCAAAACGCACCAAAACTCAGTTCTGAACGAATACCGTATCTTTTCCAAGGATTTCACACATTTCCTGTTGTGAGATTCAGCGCATGGGGTAGTCTCTGCATCGGCTTGCACCTGGGGCTCACAAAGACATGGAAAGGAGTGCCAGCATTGGTTTGGGGGAGAGAAATTGTGGGGTCCCGGTGATCTAGAAATTGCGGGAGAGAGGGAATCATTGGATATGTTTGCTGGAAAGCATGGTCCATTTGGATGTTGCGGTGGAAGGCTTGCTGGAGAAAATCGTTCACATTTGCACTGTATTCTGTTCATGAACCCAAATCTTAGACCATGGGTATAAGTAGCCATATCCAAAGCATGCCGTTAAACATCATTTTCTTACCGCACATTAGCCAGGTAATAAATTCAAGGTGCTGAAAGAATTGAGAGTCACAGACTGGTTGGAGTGTCTGCTCGTGGCTTCGGGATTCGCTACTATGGATGACTTCACTTCTGAGACGTCGTTATTGTTATTGTTTGGTGACATTTCCACATGTTGTTCCATCAACAAGTAAGATTCTCCCGGGTAAGATCCTTCAGATGAAATGAATCGATTGATCTTCGTCAAATCCAGAAATCCCATGGCTCTCCAGGGGTCCATGGCAGCACCAAGGCCTGCAAGGGAGGGCTAGGGCGGTTGTCAAAATTCGGCCATTCGCTAAGGATGGAGATATTTGGACCTTGTTGGACTTCAAACCATCTACTGACAATATCTGTATAGTCAGTACTAGTCACTACTAGTCGCTTTGCTTAGAGAATCAAAGTAGGACATCAACTTCATCAAGATATGACTGCGGTTTTTGGAGGCAACCTCTTTTCGAGGGTGTCATCTTAAGCTTAAGGACTCTTAAGGCAGGTACTGGTGCTCAAACGAATTGATCAACGTTGGTGAAAATTGCCAGTGAGTAATGTACAATGCCTCAAAATCGCACTTGGTCATCCGGGAAATCGGATTTTGGAAGCATGACTCATGACTCTGGGCCATCTATCATTGAGGTATTATGATATGACTTATGTTTATGTTTGGAACATGGAGCAGTTGGATCTTGTGTTGCAACAGCTGACAGTTTCAGCGCATCCTTTGCATGAGTCACTGGCATTTGAAGACGCCGCTCCATTTCATGGGCATAGGGGAGACACCATTTTCAGACAGACCTGATGGCCTGTTAGGCTGAGGTGTTTTGTTTTTTGCTTCGGCAAGTGAACTGAAGAAGGTACTCGTAGGTGCGATGCCACTCAGTACTGTGCTCTAAATGGTGTGGAGGTGACCTCGATCACGACCTCACGAACCTTGAGAGCGGTGTGCAAAGACTACTCATTAGGATTCCCTACATGGCTATGCTTGGCTATGCTTGGAAGTTTTCAGTTGTGAACATCTCGAAGCAATTCAGGTTGAGTGCATTCAAGTCGTCTCATGGAGTTGTATGAGGGATTGTCAAAGGATAAATACGTTCGAAAGAGACCTTCCAACCTTCCAACTTCTGGAGGGCTTTCAGGGTTCTGCAATGATTCAATTCAATTATAGTGGGAATGAGCAGTGGCCCGTGGCTTTTCAGAATAGTGACCAACAGCACGGCTTCCAAGCATTTATGCAAATAAACAGTATTGTCGAGGTTGCTTCATATGATTCAACATAGCAGGACCTTGAAAGTGCCAAAGATCCAAAGAGTATGCCAGCGCCAAGCGTTGCAGAATCACAGAGTGGTGGCCAGTCGTGAGGAAAAGTAATTTGCTGCGCGCAGTTTTGACTCTTTCTCAGCTTAGTTTCCTCTGATTTGTGGCAAACTTTATGACTAATGTTGGCAGATCTCAGACATCTCCATTCATCGAAACTTGTGACTCTTGCTTCTTGAAATTGACGCACTCGTACTTTGCACCTCCTGCGGCCAGTTTTGCAAGCTCAACGGGGCCGAAATAGAAACAGACCTCCGACTCAGCACCAGAGATGGCCAACCTGCCAGATTTGGTTGGAATGGTAGACAGTGCAGTGCATAGACATTTTACTGCTCAGACTGTTGAGGAGCCACAAGCGTTCCTACCAACGATTGCTGAAATCAGAGCCATGACGGATCGGGAAAAAACTGAACGCCTTCATTGGTTTCTTTGTGTTTTTCTCCTGGTGTTTCTTTTTATTGTTGTCTCAGGGACCGTCATCATGGTCGTAGGAGCTGAGCTAAAAGCACGAGGCTCCTACCATGGGCTCGGCCAGACTGCCGCTCTGAGCGGCAGGGCTCAATTGCGGCTGGTCATGTTGAGCTTTGGAGGTACGGTGTCTTTGAGCTTCGCTGCATGTCTGTGGAGCTTCGAAACTGGACACCTGTCCAAGACACTGGGCTTGGACTGGGAAGTTTATTTGTTTCTGTTTTGTTGTGCTGGTGCCTCCCTGATCGCCCAAGCTGTGCTGGCAGTGGCGAGGCTCAAAGCGGGTGACCGCTTTGATGCCACAGCTTTTGCCGTGGCTTCATTTTCCTCCTTGGCACCGTTTTTGTCTGACCAGTTCGATACTTTAAAAGATATCATTTTTGGATGGCTTTGTTGGCAGTCAAAGCACCTTTTCATGAAGATCGTCGGAGTGTTGAGCTGGTCGTACCTACTAGCCTTCCATGCATGGTTCTTTTTGCTTCCAGCTGTGAATGCGAGCTTCGTACCGGGTGCAAACTGTTTTAACGAGCTGGCCGCGAGCCACCTCTCAGTTTTGCTCATCCCCCCAAAGGTCACAGGCGAGCGGTCCGGTTGTTGGGAAGGGATTATCCTCCCCGCAATCTACAAACAAGTGACAAAAAGCAAACGCGACCACCTGTTAATTGAGAACGTGCCCCAGGCACTGATGTCTGTTCTTTTCTTGGCCTTTGAAGGCGGATCAATTTTTGTCGCTGCCTTGAATCTAGTCATACCCGGAGTACAGATTGTTCTCACCTTTTTATTGTTTAGGCCCGTGCGCACGGCTGCGATCCCAGCGCTGGGAAAGAGGCTCGATAAAGCCATGAGAAGTGGCAACACTGTGGCGGTCAAAGCATTGTGGGAAGAGGCTGGGTCCATCAAAGGGTCTGTCTTTTGAGGAATTGTAAGTCCAAGCAGGTTACGGCATTCAATATTAGTTGATGCACCAGCTTGCAATTGACGCATGCAATGCACACAGGTTGTTTTGGAGTTTGAAATTGTGAAACCATCGGCATCTTTCCATATCTTTCCAAAGTTTTTGCGCACATGTCTCAACAGAAGTAGTGAAATCGACAAGGAAGTTTCTGTGCTCGCCCCACCCAGCTTCTGTATACCCTGCGAAAAATAAAGGCATCATGCAGTGGATTGTTTTATGTTTATTTTGACCCTTCCACAACACCCTTCCCCCTTCCCCATGGTATCCCCCCCACCCTCCCCAGCACAGCACTAACAACAGTCTGGAGGCGATAAATATAAGAGTAGCCATATACTAGCCTCTGTGAAGATCTCAAATGCTACCATCCTTACATATACAGTAGCAAAGAAATTCACGCCGCAAGGATGTTACTTCCACCGTTGAAGCTGCAGCGAGCCGCGTTTCGTGCCAACTTCCAGTCAGTAAGGCCTTCATGCCAAGGTCACACACCAGAGTCTTTCCTCCGAGCCTCGCACGCCTGAGCATTTGGACAACAAAGGACAACATAGGTTTCATCCCAGAACGCAGCATAACTAGCCAGAAAGTTGCAAAACAAACCAACCCTTTATACGGTATTACGATCGCGTGAGCGTCCAGTCTCAGCACCAGGGACACACCGTGTCATGTCCATCTCGTGTCCGAGACCTGGGCAGGCGGAAATCACGGATGACGTGCAGCTTTTCAAGCTGATGTTGCCGCATTTGACCTTCTTCCTGGATGCAACGAAGCGCTGCGGCTTCGTGAGTGAAGAGCTGAAGGACCCAATGACCCAATGCTCTGGCACACCTAGGTTTCAGGAATCTTGGAACTGAGAAAGTGGAAGTGTTGCGCCGTTGCGCATGTTGAAATGTTTGGGCTTCGCCATATGAACTTGAGGTGCTTGGTCAGCGGTGCGCCACTCATAGTGGAAGGCAAAGGTTTCGTTTCCTGAGATTTGATACACATGTTTCATTTCGGTGAGGTCATATGGATCCTAGCGATTGGAAGTCCAAGGTCACTGGTCAACTGTCACTTGAACATACTCGAACCTATTTTCAGGATATCTCAGGTGTTTAGATTTTTGCAGACTTTGAGCACCCAAATACAATGCAAATTGCAGATGTCAGCTTTCAAGTCAGCGCAAAAACCATGCAATTAGCTGATTTTTCGCTCATACTGTGTAAAAAACTGCGCCCTGCTATTTTTCACCCAAAGGTATACTCCTATGTACCTATGTGGTTTCCTTCGCTTAGATCTCGGGATCTGCGCACAGGATCTCAATAAGCTCGGTGGCGTGGAGCTCAAGGCCTTGCAGGGCATGGCAGCTGTGTTTGCGGGGCAGGCTGGGGACGGAGCTCCGGGGAGCAGGATCGCAGTAGAGAAACGGTTGGTGCCCAGTCGGAGCATCTCACGGGGTCGGCCTTTTGGGGGGGCCCATCTCGAAGGCTTGGTGCGATCTCAACCACCTGAATCTGAAGATCGGCAATTCCGGCGCCAAGGTGCCGCTCCGGGCCCTTGTGGGAAGCCGCGGCGAGTCCAAGGGTCCGTGCTTCTCTAGAGACTCTAAAGTCCCGAAGAGGAAGATTGGTCGAGAGTCCATCTTGTGCTGGGAAAGTGGTGGTTTTGTATTCCACTTGGATGAGTTTGAGGGATTGATTTCAGCTATGCAAAAAACAATTATATTGCCGCTTTGCTGATCTCGTTTTCCAGTCAGTGCTGAATTATGGACATTCAATAACATCATAGGCGGCATGACTGGAAAGTGTATAGCATTCGCATTGTCAAATCCCATTGGGATATATGATATATTGGGATCATAATGTGCCCCGTACCACAACTGTTATTTTTGAAGTATCACTCCTACAATAGATATCCAAAGGTGTAGAAGGGTATCGGGTATAGGCGATATGAATAGGCCATCAATAAACGTACTGGTATTTGAGTATGGATGCCTAGAGCAGGAGACGATCAACATATTGTTTCAGGGTGGAACGAGTGGTTCGCATGGTGATATTTGGGGTTTGTTTCCCATCCCGAGTTTTCCACCATTGAAAACATCGGATTAGATCTGCGACCCGGTGGAAGATCCTTTGCAATCAGGGCATCTGGGTGGGAGCTGCCGCAGGTCGTGGCGGAGGCTCTGAAAAGCAGCACGACGCGTTTCCTCAACCTTTACAACAACGACATCGGGGACGAGGGTGCCGAGGCACCTCTGCTGGACTGGCTCAGGTTTTGCGGCGGAGTGGTCCGGGTGGGAGTCTGGGAGATGCCGGAATGGCGAATCTTCAGAGTGAGAACATGGAACTGCTCCCCCCACAAGAGATGGAGTTGCTGCAGAGAAATAGTGGTCTTGACAAGGTGATCTTTCCTACCACATAGCGGCGGTTTGGGTAGCTGGACTTTGCTGGAGATATGGTAAGAAGGGTGATCGTCAAGGGGTTCGGGATGAAGTTTATGTGAAAAAGGAAAGGTGGGGAAAATTGAATATTGTATGATTTGTACTGCGTATATAATTTGTAGCGACCTCAAAAGGAGGTGAGGGTTCAGCTTTAGCGAGGTCCAGTAGGAGATAGAGTTTTCAGGCTAAAGAAAGTCACCCTGAAAAAACGACAGTCGATGTTGGACTGGCCACTATATAGAGAGGGGGGCTCGGCCTCTGGAGATTATCTGAATCCCCAGAAGCAAAAACGGACGGGAGAACCCAGGTATACTCAACAGATTTACCTTCTGAAACCGTTCAGATGCACACAAACAGAGATAATACCCTTTAAGTTATTTCAAATTACTAAAAATGGAGATGAGAACCCAGGTATATCCAATATACCTTCCTTTTGAGACCATTTAGATGCATACAAACGGGGATAATACCATTTAAATTCCCAAAAACGGAGATGAGAACCCAGGTATATTCAATCTTCCTGCTTTCTGAAAGTATTCAGACGCAGTGCGAATACATCGATATTGTTAACAACTTCGATATTGATATTTGACTGGCTGTCGGCCTAGTTCGGTTTCGATGTCTCTTGGGTTCCCCATCGATGATATCGATGATATTCCCACAAAGTTTGAACGTGCCCCCTCAACTTTATACACAACCATGTCGATGCTTCCATCGACGTAATTAAGAAAACCATCGATATTACAACGATCGTTGTTTAGTAGGAAATCCACATTATAGTGCCACTGTTCGACACAAGTACTACTATCTGGATGTTCGGCATCTCAGTTTATAGTAACGGGAAGCGTTGACGATTACCCTCAAAAACCCACATCGACTTTTATGTTTTTACGTGCCCAGGCGACTTTATACAACGTTGGTTTGTGACTTTATAGCCAAGACATGTTGGATTTCGACTTTATAGACTCCAATCATGTGGCCATTCCAGTTTATACCAGGCTATTCTGTATAAAGTCGGCCGCAAAGCATCTAGGGGATCTTAAATGAGAATTTAAGGCTGAGTGCTAGATTCATTGAACCCCGAATTTGAGCAGAAGAGGCAAAGGTGTTGGATACTGAAACCAGCTTTAGGTAAGAGGTAAAAGAGGTAAGATTTTATCTGAATTCAAAAATCTGAATGAAATTGCTGTGGGCCTGCCATGCTTCACACCGTCCTTGTGAGATGTGAAGAGTGAAAAAATGTAAAATATTATAGAACTGTGGGGCATTTGCCGGGAGTGGTTTGGTCAGAAGCTGTTCGGCTGTACAGTTCGGCAACAGTGAATTGAGCAGCGGCATAAGCCCTTCTTAGGTCATTCACGGAGCAAAGAACAGAGCCAGAGAGTGCCATACACCACAGATTCCTTTTGTTGCGTGTGTGCAAATCGGTGTGGAACAAACGAACCAGTTTGTTTTTTTGCCAGTGATCCCATGTTTGAAATTCAGGCGCGTGATCGTTGTCCTTTTTTGCAAACTGTCTTTGAAAGATGATTTTTGAAGGGATCATTTGCGCCACGAGGTGATTCCGTCCACTTGTTGTTGGTTTGGGAAGAGCCACAGTGCAGATTTCCCCTGATGTGTGTTCTATGCTTGGGGAGGTGGGGGGAGGAGTCGATCCCAAGTGTTCCCCCCACGCCGCCGAGCGGCCAGGCTCTGGCTGCAAGCCTTAAGAGCAACGGAAATTTGAGTCGTCTTCATCTCGAGGGCAACAACATCGGAGACGGCGGAGCTGAGGCGCTTGCGGCTGAATGCCTGCCTGCTGGTGTTGGGGAATGAGCGACAGTTTGGGGGGCTGATGTGGCAAGAAGGGTGATCTTCAAGGGGTTCTGGGTGAAGTTTGTGTGAAAAAGGAAAGCTGTGAGGAAATGTTGCAGGTAGGATGTTTCATTCCTTCCTGAGATATTTATCGACCCAACAATTTGAACTCTTTGACAAATGTAGCCACAGGCTATGCCACCTTCTGCTGCAACTCTTGGAGGGCTAAGGGTCAAAACTACCTCACGAGCTCTCTCCAAGTCATTTACAGCGTCAAAGCAAACAGAGCCGCCAGAACTGCCAAATGATGCTTAATTCTTCTGTCACACAACAAGAAGATACAACTCACAATCAATTCATCGACTTTTCGGTTTTTCTGGGTCTCCCCAAGTCCACCCAGTTTCTGGTCAGGAAAAAAATGTGCACCACCATAGACCCCAAACAGTTGTAGCTCCTCCCAAATTTGAGCAAAACTGGCAGAGGTGTTGGATACTGAAACCAGCTTTAGGTACGAGGTAAAAGAGGCAAGATTTCATCTGAATTCAAAAATCTGAATGAAATTGTTGTGGGCCTGCCATGCTTCACACCGTCCTTGTGAGATGTGAAGAGTGGAAAAATGTGAAATGTTATAGAATTGTGGGGCATTGGCCGGGAGTGGTTTGGTCAGAAGCTGTGCCACCACAGTGGATTGAGCAACAGCATATATAAGCTCTCTTAGGTCATTCAAAGAGCCAAACACCTTCCAGTGATCGCGTAGTGGACACTCTAACCCGTACTTTGCAAACTGTCTTTGAAAGATGATAGGGTGATTCCGTCCACTTGTTGTTGGTTTGGGAAGAGCCACAGTGCAGATTTCCCCTGATGTGTGTTCTATGCTTGGGGAGGTGGGGAGAGGAGTCGATCCCAAGTGTTCCCGCACGCCGCCGAGCGGCCAGGCTCTGGCTGCAAGCCTTAAGAGCAACGGAAGTTTGCAGACCCTCTGGCTCCACTCCAACAACATCGGAGACGGCGGAGCTGAGGCGCTTGCGGCTGAATGCCTGCCCGCTGGTGTCGGGGAATGAGCCACAGTTTTGGGGGCTGATGTGGCAAGAAGGGTGATCTTCAAGGGGTTCGGGGTGAAGTTTGTGTGAAAAAGGAAAGCTGTGAGGAAATGTTGCAGGTAGGATGTTTCATTCCTTCCTGAGATATTTACCGACCCAACAATTTGAACTCTTTGACAAATGTAGCCACAGGCTATGCCACCTTCTGCTGCAACTCTTGGAGGGCTAAGGATCAAAACTACCTCACGAGCTCTCTCCAAGTCATTTACAGCGTCAAAGCAAGCAGAGCCGCCAGAACTGCCAAATGATGCTTAATTCTTCTGTCACACAACAAGAAGATACAATTCACAATCAATTCATCGACTTTTCGGTTTTTCTGGGTCTCCCAAGTCCACCCAGTTGCTGGTCAGGAAAAAAATGCGCACCACCATAGACCCCAAACAGTTGTAGCTCCTCCCAAATTTGAGCAAAACTGGCAGAGGTGTTGGATACTGAAACCAGCTTTAGGTACGAGGTAAAAGAGGCAAGATTTCATCTGAATTCAAAAATCTGAATGAAATTGTTGTGGGCCTGCCATGCTTCACACCGTCCTTGTGAGATGTGAAGAGTGGAAAAATGTGAAATGTTATAGAATTGTGGGGCATTGGCCGGGAGTGGTTTGGTCAGAAGCTGTGCCACCACAGTGGATTGAGCAACAGCATATATAAGCTCTCTTAGGTCATCCATAGCGCCAAACACCTTCCAGTGATCGCGTAGTGGACACTCTAACCCGTACTTTGCAAACTGTCTTTGAAAGATGATTTTTGAAGGGATCATTTGCGCCACAGGGTGATTCCGTCCACTTGTTGTTGGTTTGGGAAGAGCCACAGTGCAGATTTCCCCTGATGTGTGTTCTATGCTTGGGGAGGTGGGGAGAGGAGTCGATCCCAAGTGTTCCCCCATGCCGCCGAGCGGCCAGGCCCTGGCTCAAAGCCTCAAGAGCAACAGAAGTTTGGAGTGGCTAGATCTCCACTCCAACAACATCGGAGACCGCGGAGCTGAGGCCCTTCTTGCTGAATGAATGCCTGCCCGCTGGTGTCGGGGAATGAACGACAGTCTGGGTATAGCTGTGGCTGATGTGGCAAGAAGGGTGATCTTCAAAGGGTTCGGGGTGAAGTTTGTGTGAAAAAGGAAAGCTGTGAGGAGATGTTGCAGGTAGGATGTTTCATTCCTTCCTGAGATATTTATCGACCCAACAATTTGAACTCTTTGACAAATATAGCCACAGGCTATGCCACCTTCTGCTGCAACTCTTGGAGGGCTACTGTACGGGTCAAAACTACCTCACAAGTTCTCTACAAGTCATTTACAGCGTCAAAGCAAGCAGAGCCGCCGGAACTGCCAAATGATGCTTAATTCTTCTGTCACACAACAAGAAGATACAACTCACAATCAATTCATCGACTTTTTGTTTTTTTCTGGGTCTCCCAAGTCCACCCAATTGCTGGTCAGAAAAAAATATACACCACCATAGACCCCAAACAGTTGTTCGGTATACATATTGTACAGCAAAGTTCCTCTGAGGCATGTTATGAAATCGACCCTCCAAGATGATGTCAAAAGGTTCCACTAGGTTTCAGACGAAAAGGATGACAAGAAGGACGTGAAGCAGGGAGACCAAAAAGGGATCAAGCGGAGAAGAGGTGTGAAAAGGTGGACACAGCATAGGACATCAAGGCAAGGAAAGGAGACAAGGGAGACATGCTTGCCAGAAGGCGGACACTACATCCAACAGCAAGGCGAACACACTTTTGAATTTTTGAAAGCTTTGAGAACCCGCATAGTAAACTGTTTGGGGAAATACACTTCTTCGGCACAGGAGGCTCTTTGGTGGGTTTTGATTTGGCTCCTGCAGGTCATTGTGCGTCAGCAGGATTCCTTTGTAGCCCCATTGCGTTCCCGTGGTGAGCCTGTTGTTGCCAGTGTTGGGGCAGTTTCCTGGCGACAGTGTGAAAAAGAAGAACTGAGGCTTAGACAAGAACTTTAAGTGACAAGGCGAGGTGGTAAATCCATAGACATCTGAAATTTGAGCTAACGAGGCGAGATGTTAAATACAGCCAGTTTTTCGATACCCCCAAAAATTCCCACTCCATTATCAGGACCCCCGGGGGTTCGCCAAAACCATTTTTTTGGACAGCCTAAGTGCCTGCAAGGATATGCTCAATGCAGGTTCCTGATTTTGGAGAGGGGACCTTTTGTAGCTGGCTGAAACTGTAGGTTCCTGATTCTGTAGGGGTTTTGGGGTTTGTCAACATTCAAATATACACATTATATTGATTTTGCACGTTTCCCATTTTGTAGAGAAAAATGGTGGAACATGTGTTTTCGACTTGTTTGAGGGCTTTCTTTATTTGAAGTAGCCATTCTGCTTAAATGTTTGCTCATGCCAGGCTCCCCATTTTGTAGAGGCCAGTGGTTGTGAAAATCACAAACGTGCACCAAAAAAAAGGGGGTTGGGTACCCTGATTTTGTAGAGAAGATGCCTTGCTACATTTGTGGCAGGTTCCTCATTCTGTAGAGGTCCGGGGCCCCAAAAGTCAGGTTTGGCTCTACAAAATGGGGACACCCAACCCCCCCAGGTCATTTTTTTGGGGATCAGATTATATTGATTTTACAAAAACTGGAAATTTGGAACAGGAATTGCCTCTACAAAATGGATTTTTGTACATTTCAGGGTTTTCAGGTGAGACGGGGAGACCAAGGTTCTTTCACATCATCCCTCTACAAAATGGACCTTTGTATTTTTGACGGTTTTCTTTCTTCCAAGTAGCAATTCTGCTTAAATGTTTGCTCATGCCAGGCTTCCCATTTTGTAGAGGCCAGTGGTTGTGAAAATCACAAACGTGCACCAAAAAAAAGGGGTTGGGTACCCTGATTTTGTAGAGAAGATGCCTTGCTACATTTGTGGCAGGTTCCTCATTCTGTAGAGGTCCGTCAAGCCATTTTTTGACAGCCTAAGTGCCTGCAAGGGTGTGCAATGACAGGTTCCTAATTTTGTAGTGGGAGCATTTTGATGCATGTTGTAGATGGCTGAAACTGTAGGTTCCTCATTCTGTAGAGGTTTGGGGTTTGTCAACGTTCATGAGCATAAATATACGTATACAAATTATATTGATTTTACAAAATCTGGAAATGTGGAACAGGAATTGCCTCTACAAAATGGATTTTTGTACATTTCAGAGTTTTCAGGTGAGACGGGGAGACCAAGGTTCTTTCACATCATCCCTCTACAAAATGGATCTTTGTATTTTTGACGATTTTCTTTCTTCCAAGTAGCAATTCTGCTTAAATGTTTGCTCATGCCAGGCTTCCCATTTTGAAGAGGCCAGTGGTTGTGAAAATCACAAACGTGCACCAAAAAAAAGGGGTTGGGTACCCTGATTTTGTAGAGAAGATGCCTTGCTACATTTGTGGCAGGTTCCTCATTCTGTAGAGGTCTGGGGCCCCAAAAGTCAGGTTTGGCTCTACAAAATGGGGACACCCAACCCCCCCAGGTCATTTTTTGGGGTATTGTTTTTCGTACGCGGTAAAATGCGGATGCTTTAGTTCTGCAACTGCGGGTTGCGCAAACACAAAGGCTCTCCTTAGATGATTCAGAGAGCCAACGAAACAGAGTCAAACAATGCCATGCACAACCAGATTAAAGTGTTGCGCGTTGCAAATTTGTGTGGAACAAACCAGATTTTTATCATTTTTTATCTCTGGGTGATCGCATGCTTGACATTCAGTCCATTTTTGACACACTGTTATTGAAAGATTTAGGAGTTATCTGTCATCCCACCTGGTGATTCCGTCCACTGGTTGTTGGTTTGCCAAGAGCCACGCAGCCACGCGGTAGATTTTCCCCGATTTCTTTCTGTGCTTGCAAGTGTTCCCCCATGCCGCCGAGCGGCCAGGCCCTGGCTCAAAGCCTCAAGAGCAACGGAAGTTTGGGGGAGCTCTCGCTCCACTCCAACAACATCGGTGACCGTGGAGCTGAGGCCCTTCTTGCTGAATGCCTGCCCGCTGGTGTCGGGGAATGAACGACAGTTTGGGTATAGCTGGGGCTGATGTGGCAAGAAGGGTGATCCTTAAGGGGTGTGGGAGATGTTGCTATAGGCCAGTTCTTGCAAAGGCGGGCCTCTACGTACATGCTCGGATATTTATCATGGGCTGTTCCCTGCAGTCGGATCTTTGGATTTTCCGGATGGGCTGTCGGATTTGATGCCAAGCGCTGGAGCCAGGCCTTGGCCGCCGGGCTGCTGCAGAACCGAAGTCTGCAGTATCTTCGGCTCAGCCCATTCGGATCCAGTCTGTGGCTTTGCGTCGGTTCCCGTGGCACACCGGGCCGCCAGGCGCCAGTGGGGAGTTGGTCAGGAAGGGAGAGGAGATGTGCCCGGCAACGTTGGGATGCGACTGTGCGACCTTCCTTGTGGTGAAACGAGGTGTGATTTGTAGGTGAGATGAGTAGTGAATTGGATGATTCATTGTTTCAGATGTTTCAGTGTAGTGGAAGTGTTGATCACAACAATTCTATTCTTGTCATTTTGAATCGGAATTGAACAGACACTTCTGCGCTCACGGAGTGTCCACATGTATTGAAGTGTGAACAACGGCTTTGGAGATAAGTTCCCAGCTCGGCTCCGGGCGGCCAGGCACTTGAAGAGGCAGAGAAGATCAAAAAGGAGCGGGGTGACGACTTCCGCATCTCCTGGCGGCTTGGCTATGGCTCAAAAATGCTGAATGTATCACCTACTGTCACCTACCTTTAAAATGATTCAATACCAACCAGTTGTAGTAGAAAGTGATTAAACTGCAGTGTGAGCGACTTGTACGGCAATAAAGAGAAGAAGCTCTTTCGAAACGACCCCTCTTTTTTAGTCAAACTCCCTGAAGAACGCTGCACAGTTGCTGTCGGCTCTGCACCTAGGTGGTGAAAACAAGAAGACAGGAAGTGACTTGACAGCAATTGAGAACCATGTTGAGGCTTTGAAAAAACAAGAAAAAAGTGTGCCGTTTTTGCGAACTCTGCTTGATCCGGTGTGCATCGCAGGGCTTGGCCACTACAATGCTGGACCATCACGAGAGGGGTGGCACGGCAGCTTGGCAGAAGCAGAACGTTCCCTGCGAAGCTGTGAGAGATCTCTACCAGACCGTAGGTGAGCACAGCATAGGCCATGAAGAGTTTTAGTTCAATAGTTTTCAACAAAACAGAGCATCAGTTGTGCAATGTTTTGCTTCAGCATGATTTGTTGCGAGCTTGATGCCCAACATGATGACAGATGTCGTTCTGCCAGCAGCTTTTGGTCTTTGCATGTTTTTCTGGCGACAAATTCTACTTTAAATGTCTGTGTGTGGTACTGTCATGGCCGATAGCCAGATATGTTCATTTTTGTGTATATTAATTTGTACCTGCAACCCGGTGCTACATTGGCTGATCCTAGCAATCTGGTGGTGGTCGAAGTTCTCATGCCACAGAATTCAATCAGTTTGAGTGCAAGTATCATGTGGGTTTCTGGCGAAATCTTGGAACCCATCTAGCACACGCAGCGATTGTATGTTGGATTTTGAATCCAGAAGGTGAGTAGAGTCCAAAGTTACCCAAACACATTCGTAACGCGGGCTAGCGCATATTTCAGGATTGGAGGGGTTCAATCAGGTTCTCAGCTGTGTCTTTTCTGGATCTCCAGGCCACTGGACGTCGAACAATCGTTGCTTGACTGCATCCTTGGAGAATGGTTGCTTGTATTCATTGCAGCAGTTGACTTTCACAAATCCGAAGCATGCCATAAAAATCATGATGGTTTTGCCTAGGCATGGTGAGAGTGTTGCACCCTTTATGACTCTTTATTCATTTTATGACATTTTATGTCTTGTGCTTGCCTTAGAATTTTGTTTGGTAGTATCCCTGGCGAGGAAACTGATTTAAAGAATTGAAGCTCGGCATGGCAGAGGAATGCTGGTGTGCATGGAGCATTTGGATAAAAACATCCCTTCGATTCGTCATACGACTACAGGTATTCTATGTGCCCAAGAGTTTGCGTGGTAGGTTGCCTTCCTATCTGACTTGCATCAGTGCTTGGGATTTCAGGTTTTGTCACAGAACTGAAATGGAGACTGGGAAATCGAGACCTTCATGACTTCATGGTAACAAAGAGTCCCAAGCTCTGGAATATTGGGAACTTTGATGATTTTGGAGATCCGTGATGATTGATGACTGGTCCCGCACTAATATAGACACAAGGCCCGGGTGCTGTATGTACAAGGGTTGTAATCCATCCACCCGTAAAATACGGCCCAACATCTTGGGACACCAAGGCACTGGCAAATGACGGGTGGTGCTTCTGTTCCAACGATGTTACAAGTGGAGAGCTGTTCCTCGTACATGTATGAAAGAAATGATGCCCATGCTCAACTATATAGCTTGGCTTGCTGACCACTGAGTGGAACAGATGCGACCTTTCCCTTGGAACTTGTCAACTCTTTATTTGAAGCCATGCATTTGAGCTGCAAATGTGCGAATGCACTGTGTCAACACCAAGTCAATATGATATGTAATTCAATGTACAGTTAAATGAAACTTACCCATGTCTAAGACGTTATTGAGTGTGGCAGCTCTGGCATCAGCTTCAAAGGGTTGCAGTTCTGCTTGAGCACAGATTAGACGTGCGAAACACATCGAAATAACATCAAAAGTATCGAATTGCTATTGGTGCGCATCTTCTTGACTTTTTCCTCCAATCATCGGCCTTCATAAAGTTGTGTGGAGAGGTTTTCCTTGGCACATTCAGCACTCATGACCAAAGACATGTCCCCGACTGGATGATATCGTGACCTCATGACAGTACATTTTGTGCCCTTCACTGCTTGCACCATGCTGACTTTTCCGCTGCAGCGTTTTGGGCCCCAAAGAGGTGGTGCAATAGATGCGGAAGGTTGAAACTTTTACCAATTGATTGGACAGTTTTAGGATGTTTCAGTGTTTTATAGCCTCTACCATGTCGGCAAAACGCACCAAAACTCAGTTCTGAACGGGTACAGTATCTTTTCCAAGGATTTCACACATTTCCTGTTGTGAGATTCAGCGCATGGGGTAGTCTCTGCATCGGCTTGCACCTGGGGCTCACAAAGACATGGAAAGGAGTGCCAGCATTGGTTTGGGGGAGAGAAATTGTGGGGTCCCGGTGATCTAGAAATTGCTGGAGAGAGGGAATCATTGGATATGTTTGCTGGAAAGAATGGTCCATTTGGATGTTGCGGTGGAAGGCTTGCTGAACAATCGTTCACATTTGCACTGCATTCTGTTCATGAACCCAAATCTTAGACCATGGGTATAAGTAGCCATATCCAAAGCATGCCGTTAAGCATCATTTTCTTACCGCACATTAGCCAGGTAATAAATTGAAGGTGCTGAAAGAGTTGAGAGTCACAGACTGGTTGGAGTGTCTGCTCGTGGCTTAGGGATTCGGTACTATGGATGACTTCACTTCTGAGAAGTCGTTATGGTTGTTATTGTTTGGTGACATTTCCACATGTTGTTCCATCAACAATTAAGATTCTCCCGGGTAAGATCCTTCAGATGAAATGAATCAGGCGATTGATCTTCGTCAATTACACCCTTCATTGAGAGGCTAACGGCAACTCCAGAAATCCCATGGCTCTCCAGGTGTGCATGGCAGCACCAAGGCGTGCAAGGGAGGGCTAGGGCGGTTGTCAAAATTCCGCCCTTCGCTAAGGATGGAGATATTTGGACCTTGTTGGACTTCAAACCATCTACTGACAATATCTGTATAGTCAGTACTAGTCACTACCAGTCGCTTTGCTTAGAGAATCAAAGTAGGACATCAACTTCAACAAGATATGACTGCGGTTTTTGGAGGCAACCTCTTTTCGAGTCCGGAAACGGAGAGCCAGGCTCAGAGTAAGCCAGGTTGCTGATCGATAACCGAAAGTCTTAAGCTTAAGGGCTCTTAAGGCAGGTACTGGTGCTCAAACGAATTGAGCAACGTTGGTGTGAATTGCCAGTGAGTAATGTACAATGCCTCGAAATCGCACTTGGTCACCCGGGAAATCGGATTTTGGAAGCATGACTCATGACTCTGGGCAATCTATCATTGAGGTATTACGATATGACTTATGTTTATGTTTGGAACATGGAGCAGTTGGATCTTGTGTTGCAACAGCTGACAGTTTCAGCGCATCCTTTGCATGAGTCACTGGCATTTGAAGACGCCGCTCCATTTCATGGGCATAGAGGGTAGACACCATTTTCAGACAGACCTGATGGCCTGTTAGGCTGAGGTGTTTTGTTTTTGCTTCCGCAAGTGAACTGAAGAAGGTACTCGTAGGTGCGATGCCACTCAGTACTGTGCTCTAAATGGTGCGGAGGTGACCTCGATCACGACCTCACGAACCTTGAGAGCGGTGTGCAAAGACTACTCATTAGGATTCCCCACATGGCTATGCTTGGAAGTTTTCAGTTGTGAACATCTCGAAGCAATTCAGGTTGAGTGCATTCAAGTCGTCTCATGGAGTTGTATGAGGGATTGTCAAAGGATACGTTCGAAAGAGACCTTCCAACTTCTGGAGGGCTTTCAGGGTTCTGCAATGATTCAATTCAATTATAGTGGGAATGAGCAGTGGCCCGTGGCTTTTCAGAATAGTGACCAACAGCCCAACAGCACGGCTTCCAAGCATTTATGCAAATAAACAGTATTGTCGAGGTTGCTTCATATGATTCAACATAGCAGGACCTTGAAAGTGCCAAAAGATCCAAAGAGTCAGAGTGCCGAGCGTTGCAGAATCACAGAGTGGTGGCCAGTCGTGAAGAAAAGTAACTTGCTGCGCGCAGTTTTGACTCTTTCTCAGCTTAGTTTCCTCTGATTTGTGCCAAACTTCATGACTAATGTTGGCAGATCTCAGACGTCTCCATTCATCGAAATTTCTCTTGTGACTCTTGCTTCTTGAATTGACGCACTCGTACTTGCACATCCTGCGGCCAGTTTTGGAAGCTCAACGGCGCCCAGATAGAAACAGATTTAGACCTCCCGCCTTGGCGCCATGAAAATCCAGCTGCTGACCCTGATCTGCGCAGCATTTGGTCTCAGTCTTCCAGAAATTCCCAACCTGCCAGATTTGGTTGGAATTGTGGACAATGCAGTGCATCTAAATTTTACTGTGCAGACCGTTGAGGAGCCACAAGCGTTCCTACCAACGATTGCTGAAATCAGAGCCATGACGGATCAAGAAAAAACTGAACGCCTTCATTGGTTTCTTTGTGTTTTTCTCCTGGTGTTTCTTTTTATTGTTATCTCAGGGACCGTCATCATGGTCGTAGGAGCTGAGCTAAAAGCAC